ATGATGTCCGCTTCTGCTTGACAAACCCCTGGTCCCCATTTTGCTACCAAGTCAAGGGATATGCGTGATATCATATTCCCAGTGTCAGGTCGGAAGGATAAAATTGGAGTTCGATGCCAATCAGTGATGATTTCAGCAAGCACTTGGTCGGGCATGGACTCTATTTCGTCGGTAGTATATCCTTTAAGTGGAAAGGGGAAACGATCATTGAGACTTCTGGTCTGCGGGAATTAGCTGATACTGCAGAGCAAGTATGAGGCGAGAGATCTGACATCACAGAGTCTGAACCAAGTCTCGCCTCTGCCATATTTGGGATAGGGGCGCCAAATTGGTGAACTTGTCACTGGTGGACAATGAACAACGGCGGGCTTCCAAAGACTCCATGTGTCGGGAAGCTGAAACACTAAAGGAGGGACTACAAAAGGCTTGGGCTTACGTCCCCTCCTGGAACCGGGCGGACGGAAACCGAGCAGATAACTTGAGGGTAAACTTATTGCACGATGTCGATTTTCAGGTTGGCGAATATGGCGGCGATGGCTGGGGAAAGGATTGGAAGGCAAGTTGGATGCACCCTTGGACGACTCCATGGTTTCTGTTGTCCGAGATAAGAGGTACGTAGGTAATTGAACTGAACTAGTCGTACTCTACTCTGAGAGATACTTTGAAGTTTACCCAATACCAAGCACAGGCCAAATGGAAGATGAAGAAGCAGAATGCGATATGGACAGTGTTAAAGCATTCAAGGTTGTGAGTAGGAGAAAGTAGGTTGATACCAGGACAACCTAAAGGAGGGCATCGGCTTCCTTTCCAAAGCTTCATAGACAGCTTGGTAAGAGGTAGTTAGAACGTACCTGCTCGCCATAGCTGATCTACTTGTCATTCTTGCCTCCTCTAAACCAATGACCCCGTACTCTCTTCGCGTTGAATCAGAACTTTAAACTCTAAGGTTTGCTTACTCTTATGAAGATAGCACAACCATAACCGTGTGGTGAATGACGTGTTCTGCTTCTACAAACCTAGCAGAGAACAACATACTCAAATGATTAAAGCAGCTTGACAATATATATTTCCTAGAAAAGTACCGTTCATGATATGCGCATATAGATATTATATGTACCTAGTATATTTCTATCGGCTTCAGGGGCACTTGATTCAAAACATCATGATATAATACCAAGAGACATGTTTGAATCTCGGAAGCTAGTCAACCGTTTCCAAAGAGCTTGACTAATTTGGCACAAAATCCCAACAGAAAACATCGAATCCTTCCTGTTTCGTGCGAATCTGGGGGACTTTGTGAGCGCATAAACCGAGATCTGAGATTTCACAAGTGAACTATTTAAAAATAATGAAACCCTGGAAACCGCAAGGGAAGCCACAGGCGAAAGGGGAAAGGGAAAGGGAAAGTTCCATCCGGCATGAATCGGATTATGTAATTTCGGTTCTTAAATTGGCAATTGAGTTCTTCTTGGTGGACACTGGACATTGACTTGGACAGAGGGTGAACGGACTGGAGATTTTCCGGTCCGTGCATGTTGGTCATGGTCATGGTGGTTTTAGCTCCACCAAGTCCAAGCCACCATACAACAGGTTAGCCACCTTCTTTTGTTTCTATTTTTCTTCAGCTCGAGACTCGAGACATTCCTAGCATCAGCTATTTGATCCAATCACGAACCTCATTTTGTTCAACATAGTCGGTAGTTCCGGGCTGCAAAGGCTATTACAAATCGAGTTTTCTTTCTAACCGTCTTCTCGTATTATTTTTTTTTCTCTCTCGCATTGAAAAATAATAGTTCATGATTTTAAACGACTAATTTTTAAGAGAAATTGTAGTGGGCTTGGCAAGGTCGCCGGTCTGGGATCTTCTCTGGGATCTTCACGAGATGCCAGCCATAGCCACTTGGCCTTTTTGGCCCTTTTTTTTAATTCCCTTCGTTTTGTTCTGCCCCGAGCCGCTGGCACGTAAATGGCGAACCTGACCCTGTCAGGACTCAGCAGCCCTACCTGACTAGTCTGACAGGCTTACTCGCCGTAATAGCACATGGATGCTTGCCATCTATCTGAATGTTGGACTTGGACACCTTTCGTCATGATCCCCAGCAATGAAGTCACAGCCACAGAGTTGGATCACCGGCTCCTCCAGCCGCGTTCTTTTTAGATCTGTCGTCTTGACAAATAGCCGCCATCCACAATGTACGTACAATGGACAATCCAAGGCCACTCAGCTCACAAGGGTGGGATGTTGCCGTGGTGCGCATAGGGCTAACGAAGCTGCATACTTACACATATGGATACAGTATGTATGAAAGGTAGGATGTCCCGAGTCCTAACACCATTTCTATCCTAGTGGGATCCATCCATTGATTTCTTATTATGAGTACCGCTGCTCATTAGTCCTGGCCCGATAGGTAGTTTCGTCTATTAATTCCTCTCCCGCAAATTTATATAGTTGGACAATCTCTCGTTACATTCAAACCGCCAGGTCTCTTCTCTTATTAGCAGGTCGATAAGGATTGTGTCAGCTATACACCTAACACACCCAAATTATATTGAAATCCTTCCCAACATACCAACACACAACTGATAAATAAAACCTTCTCCCCGGTTTTCAAGCACCACCGACTCACCTGAATATACCTGCCACATATCAAAAATAGCAAGATGTTGTTTAACTTCTTAATATCGGCTGTCGCGACATTCTCCTTATTAGGAGCCTCAGTCAACGCATCTCCCATCCGATGTCCCGACGTATGTCTCTACGATCATAATCGGGTAGCACATCATTACTAACTCGTATCTAGTCCAAACGAGATTTGATTCTTCAAGGAACGATGCCGGCCGAAGAATGTTGCAGCTATGGAGTTTGTAAGGGCTCTGTTGTCGTCGCGATGGGACCGGCAGAAGAAAGCAAGAGCTCAGCGATCATGTACAACACACGATGATCAAACGAGATCTAGTGCCTCGTCTCTAGGAGCACTTTTCACGATCCTCTTCATTTTCTCAGCACCAGCATGATCAGCATCATATCGGCGTTTTTCCCATGGGTCTCAGCATATTGTCATGGGCAACTGGAGTTCAAAAGTGGGGCATTCGGTGGGCGAAAAATTATTATGAGATTAACGGCGGCCAATCATCATTTACACCTGGTCGATTGGAATATGAGCATCTGCACTGCACGCGATAGAAGTTTATGGCGTTACATGCGAGACGGATATTGACCGAGACGACGTTACATACCGTCTTCGAGAATACCCCCAACAATTAGAATATTGTTTACCTTTTTGGTAGCTCACGAATACGACCATGAGGCTGATAGGCCTCCTAATTACTATTACTTTTTTCCTTCTACAATATGAAGCTAATTGAGCAATTACGAGATCGTGAAGTTTACTATTATAGGACCGAGTAAGATAGACACTAGAGTGGTAAGATATCGCCCGAGCAACTTGGCGGATCACATATTAGTTCGAATTCGGCGCCCCGGCCGAGGCCGAGCGAAATATGGCGTGGGATGGGTTGGGTTCTCGTATCTGCACTGACAACAAGTGCGGGTGCGGCTGTCTGATAATGCAAGCGAAAGGTTATATCACGTCTTCTAATCGTAGCCCTCCAGCCACCTCTTTATCGTCGACATACAATAAGCCAATCCGTCATTCGGACGCTCGGATGAAAAGCTCCAGAATGCCAACTGCTATAACAGTCATAGCAAGTCGGGGTTCCGGATCCCACGTGCGATTCCGCCCTATTTCTCATTTGCTATTTAGCTATGTGTATGAATCTATCTCCTCTCAATAGCTCGGCGGTGAACATTTTTCGCGGTTATTAGATGGGGGTGATCGGCTATCTAGATCCAATTGTAGCATCATCTCACCACACTATGGGTAGGCGAGCGATCTGGCATGGGTCTCTAAAGGGTCCTCGAGTCAGATACGGTACGGAATTGTTTGTCGTTGGCTACAATGGTCCAATTATCACAAGCTTACCTTACCTACCCATCCCAGTCCCCGAAATACGCGATCTCAATAGCCCGTCGTAGAAGGAACCGAAGTTTATAAAGAAGCGTCGCGCTATCTGGTTAGCTCGTGCTGTCCGCCTGGGTTCGGGCCAGCTACCGGTAGAGCCACGGACGCATCGATGCTTTCTCTCTGATATAAATACGACCCGCCGGCAGTGTGGTTCGATATCGATTCAGTTGGTTCGTTCGCTTAACGTTACGAAGTCATCGTTGGCTAGTTGGCTTATCGCTTGCAAGCCCTCGAGTTCGTGATGGGGATCGTGTTGGTCACATCTCGAACTGATTTGTCACCTAGTCGAGCCTTGAGAAGGATTGAATCTCACTTAAACGAGACCTCAAGTTAGTTAGACTTATGACATATTTGCTACCTTGCTAAATTAACTAAATCCTCTTCGGATATTTAAGCTTATTATCCAAGACGCTTGTGGTCCGTAGCTCGGGTTCTCTAACGGCTTTCAGCTATAGTTTTGTGACGGGAGATAGATCGACATGCATAGTGTAGCTGATGCCCTCATCGTGGAGATATACCAACTAGTACCATAGTATGATTTATTCGTCTTTTACACTATGAAACAACTGTCAAAGATCAGCATGATCAGTGTATGGTAGTCTGCAAATCTCTTCAGCCGGTTCGTGAGCTGAGATCCATTATGCCACTATAGTCTCCTCTCAGGGCACATCATGAACTGGTATCCCCCACTCTTGATCTCCATTTGTACAGATGTTCTTTCAATGAAGCCTTCACGATTCATAACAACGAACCCGAACCCACTGATAGGCCAGGCGCCATTTCATCCCAAGATCCATCCATGGATCTTCCAGCCCGCGCTATATCACACTAACCTTACACAATTCTCAATCCACACGGACCGCTAGGGTACCACCACCAGTTCACTGTGCAAACACTGCAAAACTACCCATATAATTTTCAATGAGAACTATTTCTTTCATCCAATCAACTTTCATGATCCACGATGGGAGGTAGGGGCTTGTGGTTTAGTGGTATAATACTCCCTTAGCACTTTTAGAAGCAATAGCTCTAATAATCGCCTGGGAGTGGTCCGGGGTTCGATTCCCCGCGAGTCCATTAATTAGAGGTTAAATTCCTCTTGTACCATCTTTTTTTTCCCTCAAACCAATCAATCATTCTATTTTTTTTTCATGGTTATTTGACATTGGGGTGATATGATTGTAAGGTTTTTTTTTAATTAAGCGTGTATCGAGTTGAGAAGGTTGCCGTCATGCATAAGAAAGCCACCTCGGTGATCCCCACCTCATTGTCCTTCCAATATCAAGCCCGATTGTGACGCCACATCATCATCACCAAGTCTTGAGTAACAGCAAATTACAAATTACAGTTAATTCATTCGCTGGGGTTTTCTGTGGCAGTTATGATATCATCAACCTTTTCGTCGCTTAAGTTCTCTCCTATTGGCCAATACCAAATGATCAAGTGCGGATTAAAAATCATGATCGTCTCAATCTTGTACCTAGAATCCTAGATATCACATCTTCCATTTCCTTGCCTACCCACCTAAGCACCTAGATACATACCCAAATAAAACCACCAGACAGGTAAATGAACGAAACTTCTTTACTCTAAACGTGAGCAATTTGGCGGAGGTAATTTGACAAGAAGACTTCATGCATACCTATCTTCATCCCTTCGCTCTAGCTAGGCCTATTCACATAGCTTTGAGTAGCTCAAAATGTAGGTAGCACGATTCTCATCTATTCAATCAACTTTCCACCAAAAAGACTTTCCAGTCAAATATATACACCAGATCCTATATACTACCACATCCCCTTCCAACCAACGCGAACCAACATGCTACGATACGAGAGGCTACCATAGTTTCGTATCTCTATAATCTCCACCCCTCTCCATCCCGCGTTCACAGCACGACCAAATTACTGATCTTAAGCCCCTGACTCTCGACATGGTACCTCCTCCTAATCCCCAAGCTCCGCGTCGTCTTCAACAACTCATACGCCTCCTCCCCGCCCCCGGTCATCAGCATAGCGATAGGCCGATGTCGCAGTATGCCCGCGGGCGTCTTCTGCGCCTCGTCCAGCAACGGCCTGATGAACTCCATCGTCGGCGCCTCCCTACCTCCACCTCTCCCGCCTTTACCGTGTCTCTCGTTCCGATCCTCGTTTAGATCCTCGTCGTCGACCTTATCGTCCGACACTACGAGCACGAGCTGCAGCGCGCCTCTCGCCGGGGCGAACGACGGGATGTTCGCTAGTTTCTGTGAGAACGAGCAGCCGCCGCGACGCATGACGATGACTTGGTGCGCGCGGGGCGCTGCGTCGGGCAGTTTGCCATTGCACGCGTACCCGGCGAAATAAACGTGCTGCCACGAGAGGGAGTCCAAGACATCATTCGTATTTGGGTTCGGTGCCTCGCGAACGTCGGGTAAAGGTGCGGCGCCCTTGCCTACAGGCGTGATGGCTGGCAATTCGACGTATTGGTACTGAGGCTTGGGGACGGGTTCTGGGCCGAAGGTGGCGGCTGGTTCCCGTAGAGCGGACGTGATCTGTTGTAGGAAGGAGCTGAACATGCCTACAGCAGAATCGGTCTCGGGCTCTATGGTGGATTCAGACTCGGAAGGCGGTTCTGGGTCTACGACGGAAGAATTGTATTCTGATGGTTTCGGGGGAACTTCGATTTGTAGAAGAATATCGACGATGACTGAGTTGCGAATGCGGTGGAACAACGGGTCGGACATGTCCTCAAGGACTTCACGAGAAATAAAGACTTTCTCATCGCGACCTAACGGTAAGCTACCAATGCTGTAGACTCTCCAGGTTCTTTCAGTCGTCTCCGGAGGTTCTTCTATCAACAAACCTAGTTTGAGGCCTGCCAAGCTATTAATCGCAATGCCCTCGCTCCCCATACGAACCAGATTATGGCCGCCGAACATGAGATTGAAGGCGCTGCCTACTGACTGTTGAGAGCCAGAAGGGAATTCGATGACTGATGTTTGCGCCTGTTTGGTTACTGCGCAGATTCCATCAGCTGGAAGCATGGTGGGGGGCAATGTCCAAGGGAAATAAGTATAATTCGCCTTTGGCCTTTCTGGTAGTCGTATCTGTGATTTTGAACCACCAAGCTTAGGGATAGTGCTTTCTGACCCGCCGTGTATATTGGGGATTTGATGGAGTCGAATCAGAGTTGCCGCATTGTAGAAGTCAGGTCTGGCCGCAACGGCTGAACTGGTCAACGGAGGCAGAATTGGCGGACGAGGACAGGTGTTGGTAAATTGAGCATCAAAGTAGGGCTGGACGGCTCTTTCTGATACTGGTGTATGTACCGGACGACGGGTCTTCTTTCGAGGGATAATCAACGGATGACCTTCCGTAGTAAACACGTACGAAGCGTCAAGTTTGTTTAAGGGGTGATCAGGGTCAAAGAGGAGATATAAGTATTTAGCAGTCTCCCCGAGGAAGAAGCTCTCCATTCGGTCGCTTTTCTCTCCGGTGCGAACATCTTGTAAGCCGGACCAACCACATTTCGTCCAGCATCGTCTGTTGATGTCTTTCAGAACCATCTCACCCGCGTAAAGGTACCACGGATCTCGAGTAGCACGGTACAAGTGATACGTGGACTCGATAAATTCGGGGCGACCAGGCCACCAGCCCAGACCCCCCTCCACATGACCGTCGCGTACAGACCATCGCTCAGGTAGGGCTGAGTAGCGAGTCCAAAGGGCAGTATATACCAAATGTGTCTCAATAGCTTCGTCAAGTTCCCCAGCAAGTGCTAATAAACCAGAGTAATATGCACCTAAACTGTCAATCCAATATGCTTGCGGTGAACCCGTAGACATATGTGCATTTACATAGTGCGGATGATGTAGGCCAGAATAGAGATGACGTTTGATGGCAGCGTGAGCATGATGCCAAGCTTGTAGAAACGAGTCGGCAGAGTTATCCTCATCTGTAAGTGGATGATATAATTGGTTGGGATCAAGCCAGTTCCCGTCATGGCTTTGAGGCATCGTCCGATTCGGCAACTCCTGGCCCGACAATAGGATATGGGTCTTGAGAGCATACTCAAAGAAGCTGTCAATCCCGGCGCCAATTCCAGAGAAGCCCCCGATCCAGTGACCTCCTTCGGCATCTACGCCAGCTCCAATAAGTCCGATGTTACTTCTTCTCGACCACACAGCCCAGAATGCCCTCTTGGCTGCTTGTTCAAATCTCGGGTCTCCAGTAAGACGACTTAACACGGTGAACTCCAAAACTAAACTACCTGCTCCGGCACTACACGTTTCGGTGATCTCGGGATTATCCTCAGCTGGATTCGGATCTATATTGTTACCATGGAGCGGAGAATTGATATAGAACGGAATCCCATGGCGAAGATTAACACGTGGGTAAGGTAACCCGGTTTGGGTATAAAATGCCGGAAGTAGACGTTGAGCTAGGTCGAGGGCAAGTCGCAACAGTTGCCCATCGTACTTGAATCCATTGGGCCAGGGGATAGGGTATTTTTCGATATCGCTATCACCATCGTCATTGTATATGACCCGCGGGTTATAACCAGATATGGGCAACTCCCCAACGGCGAAAAGATGAGCACTAAGTAGTCCGCCAACGCCTCTTATAACCGTTTCGAAGACTTGGACCTTGCTGTCAACATCAAACCCACGACTACGAGCACCTTGTCCCGTCGGACCGGGCCGTCCATCACCATATTGTGCGACCAACGCGGCTACACCATCTTGAAAATCACTTAAAGCTTTCGGGCCGGTATTTCTACTGTCGGGAGGCGCAGAGGCAAGGATGGCAAGCGAGGAAAGACTATCGATGAGGGTGAGGGAGTAGTTCCCAAGGACGTCATTAAGCGCAATGTTTCGAGGGTTTAGAGGGTCTCGAGTTAACGGCATACAAGTGACGGGCCGTAACTATAAAAAATAGGTATAAGCTAATGCACAATTCTACTTTTTCTTCTTTTTTTTTCCTTTGTTCGAGTCCTTCTTTTGCAGGATCAGTTAGGTGCATACCTCGTCTTCGGGAAAGGCAATATTCATGTAATTATCGAAGCCGTGATAAAACATATCGACCGTCTCCTGCCTCAACTCGGCAATGCGACTGGGGCGCATCGCCTCCACCAAATCCAGCCATGACACCAACACCGCGAACAACACGATCAACCTGGTAAAAGCGCCATAATTCGTCCATTTGTGGGAGGTGGCCAACGTCCAACTGCCCATGCCTAGCAAGGGCATCACCGGCAGGGGAATGGAGAAGAAGGCATGTGGTGTATGAAGAACTGGTGGGGGGGAGCGACGAAAGGACCTGCGAATTTCCCACCCGTTTTTGTTCTTGTTCTCGTTCTCGAAACCAGCAAGAGACCGAAGGTGAGGAATTGCAAATTTCAAATTTCAAATCGCAAAACGGAAAAAAAAGGAAAGAAAAAAAATGTTTTGGTATAATGAAAAGTTTGCGACTATCGTTTGCTCAAATTCTCAAGTTTTCAACTGGGAACCAACAAAACAAAACGCGAATAGAAATTTGAAGCTTTGGAGGTGATCATCGAATGTTTAGTAGTGTTTAGTGTTTTAGCTACAATCCTCAAAGGTCCACGGTATCCATTTCATTGCAATGCTGTCATTACCCAAAATATTAAGCTTTAATAATAAGGTTTGGAATTCAGACAACTCAAAGCGTCGAAGCGTCGTGACATGTGTACTAACAGTAATTCTCCAATCAAACGCTGGTTTTCTGATAGGAAAACTTGTACTCCCTCAGCATCTAGGTTTATCCGCGGGTCTGGATTGGTCTGAGGACACGTGCCAGCGTTGGCTTGCATGTGATTACATAAGATTGTACCGTACGTAACACGGATTCCAGTTATCGATAATCTCGAGCTCTATCTTATCTTATCGATATCAGCAGGCATTGACCTCGAGGTCCCCGACCAAGTCTTGTGCGACGCCAACGACATCCGCTTCATCATTCCCGAATCCCAGTGCTCAATCAAGCATGTAGCCGCTCCCGAACAACTTTTCGTCGTATCACAATACAACTAGTCGGCGTATTTTGTGTTCGAGCTGGCTACTTCCTCATTTTGTACAG